CAAATTTCAATGATAATTTCCACGATATTAGCATATTATTCTTTCACTGAATTTCGAGTGATATAAACAAAGGGATTGACAATTAGCCAAAATGGTCATTGTATTTTTAAGTTGAAACAATTGTGTACCTTTAATTAAACTGAATGGGTGGTGAGTGTTCCTGGACAAGCAATAAATGTGTCGAATATATCAGCACCCATAGGTAAACAGTCTCAACAGATATATGTACAGTACACACGGACCATAGATATCCTCATCATCGTGGGGTAATCCAGGGCCAATGGTTGTTTTCCAAACTCGGTGGAACATTTCGCGAGGCATAATGAATCTATTCCACTGGGGTGGCAGGGTGGTACACTCTCGGTGTATACAGACTGTGCAAATGCACGTATGGCTTAGTGGATCCATTTTATCGAGATATTACTGTGTGACGAGGTGGCTTTCTGGATAGATGAATGTAATACTCGTTCATATTATCAAATGTATCACGTATACCCCTATGTGTCGATGGAAAATTGTTTGATGCACACCATGCACCTCCTGATTGTTGCCTTCATCAATGTCTCATAAATATCCCATAGAAAAGAGACTGCACTAAATGCATTAAAATTCAATAGTCTTCTACAATTATACGAGCTACTCAAAAGATGGATGGGTGAATGGAGGTGATTGCAACTTGAAGGAAAGGGTGTAACGATAACGATAAATATGACAAATTATAAATTCATCTTCAATCGTGATACCACTAAGAAAGGGAGACGGTGTGATTTTACGGATGGGTAGCGTGTAGGTGGGTAAAAGAGAGACGAGTAAAAGCTGTCAGGGAATTATATGAAGATGGAGGGAACATTTGAGTTATTCATCTTCTCTTGTCTCTAAAATGCCTACACTATCGCGAATTTCGTCATTAATTTTTTTGAATACTTCAAATTACATAATTGTTGTTTGAAGAAAATATGAAAAACTTGAAATTGCAGTCTGGGTGTGAAGATTCGTCAATTTTTAACCGGGGAATTCATCAGATGGAGGTCAATCGACTTTCCATCGTGCTATTCTATTTTTTATGCATGCATCTGTTGCTTCCTCCCCCTCTCCAATTCCTTTGATATTGAAAGGCTAGTGTATATGTCTACTAGCAGGGGTTAAACGACGATCCAACCTAACCCACGAGCTTCTGCACACACGTGGGTTACATCAGAAAAGCTATTCACTCGAAATCCACGTGGTCTATCGATTCTCATAGCGAAACATTCAAATGCTTTGCTAATTTATAAGAACCAGCATCGCCAGCTATTTTCGTGATATCAAAAAAAAAAAATCAATACAACCCACGCGAGGAGATGGATTACAAAAAGTCAATCCCCATCGGTAGATATATGAAACTATGAAAACATCCTCTAGCAGAAGTATCTCCTGATTTATCCGAAATTCGTGGAAAAATGAAAACTACAGGCGTGTAAAATTTGACGATTCTCGTGTTACCTTTTGAATCGAGTTACACGTAGTACACAAATTTGTGCAATATATTCCCATTCGTTATCTCACTCTTTGTGACAACTACGTTGCTGTGTATGCTCCATAACAGGGTGAGGGTGAAAAGGGGGTGGCAAATGAGGAGGTAGTAGTTGTGTACGAAGGGACGAATATAGTAAAATGGTGAAATCTCTCGGTCACAATATATAGAGCTTGACGGTTGCACAGTGAAATCCCTCGGCCATGAGCCACGCGAATCGAACCCCAACATGCGTATACCTAACCCACACATCTACCACCATCACTCACACTAATATTTGCTGCTTTCACGCTCCTGCCAACTGCAATATGAATCGTCTCTACTTTTCTATATACATTGTATACATGTACGTAGATGCGTGTGTCGTGGAGTCGAGCATTGCCCCTCGCATCCACAACACACCTACACCCACACCACCCTCTTCCACCATTTCTCCTCCCCCTCCCCACTCTAACTTCATTTCCACCACTCTCGAGCCACCCTCTAGTAACATCCACCCTCCACCGCCCCCACATCCCATCCCAACCTCTCTGACAACTCGCACCCTCCCTTCTACCCTTAACTCTCTCTCTCTTTCCTCTCGTTATCCAACCCCAACCCCAACTTCAATTCCAACCCCCCTGTCTCTGTCCCTGTCCCTGTCCCGTCGGTCACCAGTTTCAATTTGTTATTTTTACATCATTTTACTCCATCTCTCCTGTCCTGCGCTTCTCTCTCATTCCATTTTACTCGCTCATCCCTCTCTTCGTTTTGTATCCACTTCTTTTGGTACCCACCATCCTCTAATATCGTCCTCTCTTTATCTTGTTTTTACCCTCTCTGCACTCCAATGCCATTCTTTCTTTCACCGTCGAGTTCATTGCTGTCTGCCCTTTTTTTTTCCAAAAAGTTCATAGTATACATCTTTAAACGCATAGTTCTTACACAGTTGTCCACAAATAATGTCCCAAATATTTTATTGCTCGGTATTATCCGAAGTTGTTGAATTTTTTAATCATTCGGAATTATCAGTCATTAATGAGTGATAGAATAATTTTTACGTTTTCATGGGGTAATTTTTAATTTCATTCATTTTGAAGAGAAAATAAATGGAATGAAATGATGAAATGATGAAATGATGATGAATTGCGAAAAATGTCAAAAAATGGGGAAGTAGCATTTTAATCGAGCAATTCCATAGTTTATTATGAGTTAAAGTGGAGCCTGGAAGTGTGATGCTCACAAAAACCACAAACCATGAGGACAGAGAGAATGCAGAAACAGGAGAGAGTCTCCCCATACCAATCTCATATATATATTCAGTCATATTCTGATAGGAGTCCTCGTCAAGGAACTCGGTAGAGAAGCAGGATGCTCTGATCCCCCTCCTCCGCCGCAACTACACCTACATACATACGTACATAAGTTGAGCGTGGGCGAGTATTTATATGTATACATAGGATAGGATAGTACACTCTCCGAATTGACTGAGCATCCTCTCTTGGACGGTTTCTTCAGGCTCCGCCATACCCATCCGTTCGTTCGAGTGTGGGAACCGTGCACGTACACATTGAAAATGTCTTTACGAATGGTTATGGGGAGAGAACGAGGTGGAAGGCGAAGTTGCCTTGTCTCGAGGCTTCCCCTCTCGTCTTTCCCAATTTAGAACTCGCTCCCCCTCAATTCTAGAGAGAGAATTCACCGTGAGTCGGATAGAGATGGGACGAGAGGGTGGGAGGTCGTCTGAGAGCAGTGGTGGCATTGCTGTCAGTGGTGGGGGTACAGAGGAAGGCAGAAGTGCTGAGGCCTCGGACGCGGATCGAAGCGAGAGAGCATCATTCTGACGATGTAGTGGGAGTCTTGGGAGGAACAACCACCGGAGGCCCCTCTCTTCTCCTCACCACTCCTCTTTTTCCCTGGCCGTTAGACAGGCTTCGGAGTTCCACTCTCTCAAATATCTCACCAACAATATTATCAAGAGAGAGACGGCATGAGTGAGCGGGAGGAAGATAGTGCTGGCCTGGCTTCGCAGTAACGATGGCTCTTCTGTGAGAGATAAAGAGGCAAGTTAAAAACCGACCGAGATGGAGAAATCTTGCAGACCTGACGAGCAGAGAAATTGAGAGAGACTTGAATTATTATTATTTATAATGAAAAATTTATTTCCGCGACTTGATCGCTGAAAAAAAACACACTTTCTCACCTCGGAGCGAAATATTTCTCCTTTTTTTTTGTAAATCTAGAGTTTGCTGATGCGTCGGGGTATAAATTGGGGCACGCAAATTTCAGGCTTTTAACGCCGAAAATTATATTCAAGATGTGGAGACACTGTTTTCCCAAATCTATGCGTATGAAGCATGCCCGAGTGTAAGAGATGAACAGAACATCTCGTTCTCTTTTTCCACCAGACAAGGAAGCAGAACGAGTTTCTCTGTCTCTCTTCTTCTTTCAAAGCCTCCTTTGTTCGTTCCGCCCGTCGTCCCCAGGGAGTCCGCATACTATGAACACGTTCTTTTTATTTTCAATTTATTAATTTTTTCTTTTAATTTCATACCGAATCCTCGACAAATATTTTCTATTCTCATCTCACTATTCGACTGAAAAAATCATCCGTAAAATGAGTCAGTCGACTCGATTCAAACAATTTGTTCTGATATTGCCGGGGAAAATTGTTTCATTAGTTGTTTCAAGCGCTGATTCCCAGCTTCATCGATATAAAAGCATAAACCCAACATAAACTGGAGAGATCCTGAGTTCTACGGCACTGGCACTGGGTTTCATTCCCACCTTGGAGTTTTCTCTCACCTCTCCCATTCCAATCTCTCTCTTGCTAGCAACTGCGCAACCAAAAATTTCATCCCCACCATGGCATCACACTGAAACTTACCGTACCTCTATCTCTCTCAAAACCCCTCTCCCCTCAGTTATCACCGATTGGTCAGTACAACGGACCAATCCCACGGGCTTCGGCGTCTTGGCGCATTCCTCACACACGTGGCGTGTGATGTACCTCCATATTTCCGCGGGACCAGCGAAAAACGTCAAAAAGTTGGAGCCACGTTTGTGGAGTAAAACACGCCAGGATCACCCTCCGATGCCCCCTTCCTCCCTATTCGGTGCTTTTCATGTCGCGCGCAAGAATCCCACGTGCTCATGTCCATTTCTTTTTTTTCCCTCCTCTTCTGGCCCTCAACAATCATAAAGTCTACAATATTTTCATCCGCGTTGCTGTCCCTCTGTGTGACATACACCTCTGCTTTCCGGTGTTTTCATGCGTACACGAGAGGATGGGATACGTCTGAGGGGCACGTTTCAAAGGCCCTATACTTCCATTGCTGGATCCAATATGCCATGATCGGCAGATGCACCGCGTCAGTCCCGCACTGCAGTTGTCCTGCTACTGATTCTTGATAAACAATTCCCTCTATCTAGCCGTTATTAATCCGCCTTCAGTCCTTTTTCTATGATGTCTCAGTTCATTTGCACCTGTTTGTTGTTCACGTTGCAGGATACATACGGCCTTGGATTTGCAGACTGTCGCGACACAGTGGATACATGCATCAAGGTCACAGGACTACGCGACTACAATGCTGAGGAGTTACTTCTCGTGGCACGCAATACGCGTCGAGGTGGAAAAAGGTAAATAAAACAACGATAAGGTGGGGCCCTCGGGGGAAATGCTAGGAAAAAAGGTCAAATGTTTACGGGCGAGTGAAAGGTTCGCGAGGAGAGTAATGATTTCTGAGAGAAATTACGGAAAATATCTGCATTATTTGCTGCAGGACTTGCTGTATGATTCGCTGCCTAATGGCAAGAAATTTTTCGAAATGTTTTTATGGAATTTTCATCGATTTTTGTGAAAAATTAATTGTGATGTGAATTGTTAAAATAAGTCTCCTCTGATTTTTGATGAATTGAGATGGAAAAATGAGGGGAAAATGACAGGATAAGAGTGATGATAAGTAGTTTACTGTGGGAGTGGTATGGCCAAGCGAGTTGTACTGGCAAAAGTGTGTCGTGAGCACGCTCGTGTGCCATTCGTCGTATGACTCAGGCCACCAACAGTAAGTGTGCCACGGATCTTTCTCTACTCCCTCAGTACTCCTCTCTCAGTTGTACTCTCCTGCAATTTTACCTTTAATCCTGTATTTCTCCACGAATGCCTAATACACCAGTAGTCAATCTCCATAGAGATAATACCATAAAAATCCAACTATTACATGAAGTGCCCATGCATTCAGAATCAATAATTTTCCAACGTTCATTTCGGATATTCTTCAAATTAAATAATTTTTCTTTTTAATACTTTATTTACATCGCTTCGAGACTTGATGACTATGTGGCGATTGATCAAAACTTTAAAAATGGATAGATTTCATCATTCTACCAGGAATCGAACCTGGAATCTATCCAATATGAGCCTTACCCACTGCGCCAGGCTACCGGTCTAAAAATTAAATAATAATACTGGAAAATAAATAAAAAGCACAGCTTTTTTTCAATTTTCGTGTGACTATAACCAGAAATCCCACAAAATCATTAGGCAAAATTGAATTAACCAATATGAATGCCAAATGAGTTGCGGATATGATGGATAATTAATTGTCAACACGAATGAAAATACCAGTGAATTTATAAGTAATGTTAAGGGGGTGAGTGTGAAAATTGCCAAGTGGTGGAATCTCGATTCAACAAGTAGATGCGACAGCTGCTGATGAGAACTCGTGAAAAGAGGAAAGGGACAGGAGGGAGATACCTTGAAGCCAGTAGAGTTTGGCTTTGGAGTTATGTAGATATAGGTTTATGTACATGATAGTGAATGTAGGAGTGTGTGGCGTGAGGTAGGGAGTAAGTCGGCGCTCAAGTGAGTGCAGTGGACGGCTTTATATCGTGTACATTGGTCTGTGCTGGATGAAGCACTGGCACAGCCTTTAGTTACTTGGAATGCATACGACCTGGCCAGTGGTGCAGCTTTCAGGCTAGTCAGTAGCGCGAGTCAATTTATTATCAGACATGGCCATTTCATTCAACACCCACTCCTCTCACTCCACCCACTCCTCCCACTCAATACCATGATTACAAAATAAGAAAAATGCAGTGGATCAAATTTTCACGCGTTCCGATATATTCGCGACACCTTCTGTGTGACAAACAAGCGAAAGCAAGGGTGACCAAATGGCTACCGTTGTTTGGCACTTTCTGTCTTTCTGCGGCTCATGCCTGTGATCATAATCCCGAACCTGCCTCAATCTTCCTTGTCCCACGGCATTCACTCGTCCACATTATACAAGTGTATCTCTCCTAACCAATCAAGTGTCACACGGCTGTTCGTGCCCATGCATTATAAATCTCAACAGAATACACACGCTCATCGCCCATTAATAAATCCACCGGAGCGTGTGCCAACTATTTTTAGAACAAGATCGCCCGCGCGTGCTCCGCACCGGCATTCATTCGAATTGTTTGAGATTTAGCCACGAAGTCGTGGTGGCGGGTCGGTTTCGTCTTATCCTTACGCTCATTCGAGATATTTCGAGATATTCCGAGGTATTTCGAGATATTACGAGATATACCATGTCGAGGTCGATTTACTTTTTTCCGTTTCTATTACGACGACAAGATATCTCTCCAATTTTCGTGTTATCCTGTTGAGAATCGGAGGAAAATGAACGAAATTCCAACTGATTTCAGTGAAATTTGACTCAAACAGTTTTATAACAGGATTACAGGAAATATGAGGATTTTGTGTTGTTTACTTATACAAGATCGTCGGCGCGTGCTCCCCACGCGCATTCAGTCGAAATATTCGAGATGTAGCCACGACGTCGTGTTTACATTACGATCCATTCTCTTTTACTATGAAAAATACTACGTAACATTTTCCATCTCCCTCGCGCTGTCCGCTCTACGTTCCGACAAAGCCATCAGTTTTTCTTGCAATTTTGTGGCATATCGTGGATTTAATTCAGTCAAGCTGTAAATAACACGTCAAACTTTGCAACATTTCATTCACAAGTTTAACTTGCTCTTCGATTCATTCGTGCACTGAGAAACTGGGGTGAGGCATAAAGAAGGGCGTGAGATTTTCAAACTATTGAATCGTGTAGCCCACAATCCATTGATAACATTTCGCGTTGATATTTTCCATTTCTGTAATTTCACTGTTACTTTCTAGTCGACGTCCAACCGTGTACTAGACGCACATATCAGTATTGGATTTCATTTCACATGACAAATCAAATTCCCATGTAAATTACGTGGGGAACAAATATTTGGTTGTCGATAGTGTAGAATGAATAACTATAATTTGATTATTGGAGAGTGGATTGATTTGAGACAGTGAAAATTCAGATCTGTGAATGACTTGTACTTGGCATGCAGAAATATATTTTATTCCATCGCGCATGATGATGGATAGATAACCGAGTTAGGTTACTACGTTATCTCTGATAAAGATGTGACCTTATCGCGATGCTCTGTATGACGATAAAAAGTTCATTATTTCATCGCGGCGGAGTATAAGTCCGGATAATTATAACAGTCGAAGATATTTCTTCGAAAATATTATATTAGGATATACACGCGGTATTGCTTAATAAAATTAAATTCCGAGGTGATATGAGAAATTAAATGATATTTATCTGGAAATTGGAAGCGAGAGTCATACAATCTTAAAACGTTGAGTATTATAAATAGAGACGCACCCTTACAATTTCTTTTCTTGCTCATACCGGTCAAGCGAGTCCTCAAATTATTTCCATTTCGAGAAATCATCGCGAGCAACTTGTTCATAAATTCCTTCCCATTTTTTCCACCATTGATCCTAAGTGACATCTAAATGAGACAATTTTCCACCGGGATATTCACGATTATAGCAGTAGCTTCGGCATGCACATGTTGACTGGCAGTTTTTAAACTGCGAGGAAAAAGCCGCGAGTGGCGATTGAAGGGTTGCGGCTGGCGTTCTCGATTCTCCGAAAGTTCAGTTTCACTTTGCGCGTGTAAGTGAGACAACAAAGTGATCTGCAGCACCGATCGAGTAACAACGCGCCATACCACAGACCCTTCAAATATCCTCATTGTTTTTTTTTATCTTCTACGGAAATAACTTCTTGTGACTCAAGATATCTTCCGCAATAGCAATCAAACATTCTTTCGCGATTCCTCCAGCTGCAGACTGTAAGACCTAGAGGTGCGCCCTCGTATGCTCCCTTGGACACTGCAACACCAGCAACACCAACAGCATCACCAGCTCCAAAGCAGCACACGTTGGCGAGTGTGGGCAAGAAAGAGGCCCCCCAATCGTCCGCTAGAAAGTAACTACCGCGTAAAATGACCAATTTTTCGTCACCTAATTGCCACGTATTTCGTGATGATAAGATTGTCATGGAGAGGTGATGTCCAAAATGAAAAATTTTAATGACACTAGTTCATCGCTTGTCATGCAATAAAAATGTTTCCGATGAATTTTCTTTGGCTGCACAACTTGTAGACGGTTAACAGCGCCGAGTCAGCCAAGGCAAGCGCTTCACCATAGTCTCTGACGTGGTGGGGAGGAATTATTCTTCGGCACCGCTGTAACTGTACGCTGAAGTCAGTGGCGAGTTTCTGGCCTGATGGACACTGGTCCGTAGATATTCACGGGGCCCCCATCACAATTTTTTTACAATTTTTTTTTATTAAACAAAAATTCATCATTGAAAATATATTTTTCAATTGGCCATTTATGTTCTAACTCACGACTTTCTAATTATCATCACCGAGGGAATTTCAATTTATCCATGGAAATGAATAATGTGCGTAAATTCGACGATTCGAATTCATGCCAATTGAATTCCCAAAAGTCAACAATGTTGGATACGAGGGGTGATATAAGATCGAGTCGGTAGAAAATCAATGCCACGTGGTGGGATTGAACTCGTGCTATGGCAGTTTGACACAGAACCGTTAACTCCATGCTCATTATTTTTATACAGCATTTCTCGGTGGATTGATTTCGACTCGTTGATATATCTACCCATCGACATCACGACTCTTTCAACGAGCGCTGCCAAAATCCCGTCACTGATGCCAAAATATAATAAATCAATTATGGTGGTGGAAAAAAAGAAAGTGATTAAAAAGGGAGCACGGGCACGCGATCACTGTCACCTTTGAAAACTCAAAGGGGCCAGTTGAAACCCCCTGTGGTGGCTAACTCTATTTGCCCGCCCTCTCACTTATTCTTCCATGCAGTATTTGCGGTGTATCTCAATAAAGATTTTCTTCTCTCTTTACAAGTCATAAATTATATTGTGGGCCCAGAAATGGTCTTATACGATGAGTAAAGTAATAATTTACCTCTTTGAAGGTGTAATGACGACGAAGAGAAGCTCGACACCGCCTCTTGTCCTTTTTTTTTCCCCACAAACACTGTCCACCCTCCTCACCGTTGGGGGTACCCATAATTTATTAATTTCGGTGTTATTTAATCATATCATTAAAATCTCTTTACGATCAGGTGTTGATAAACAATTGAGAAGATGAAGTGTTTTGTCGAGTGAAAAGGTGTCAACTGCAGCCGCCTCCAGGTATTCAATTTGGACGGTGTGTAATAAGATACACAAGCTCTGGGCAATACTGTCCTGTCACGCGACTCA